AAATGATTTGATATATACTTAATATAGTTCTTCTGTAACTAACACGTAAATTTCGTAAACTTACGCTTTAATTCTTTGTTTGAGCCTACTGAATATAACTCTAAATTGGTATTAAAAATTGTTATTCACGTGTGTGTCTTGTGCAATCTACACGACTTAAACAGAATCACGTCAAGTGAAAGAAAATAAACGTTGCAGTATTATATGTAAATATTCCATTCCTAGATATTAAGGAGTCGTTATTTAGTGACTCAACAAAGCCATGTCGAATCGGTAGATATGAGTAGAATGTCTGTATGACGAAGGAAACATCTAATTTACGATTTTATGGATTTGAATCTCTAATGGGAGACCTGCATTTCAATCAATATAAATGTCGCAGGCTTGTTTTATAAAGAAATTAGATCGATAATTTTTAAAAGAGTCAGGCGAAAACAAGAGATATAAGATGACTTTATGTTTCCGTGTACGAATGTCATAGCTATTGATTACAAGTAGATACAATGTTATTTCACTCTCACCACAACCACAATCATCACCGGCAATACCTGTCTACCGAAATATTTCTTAGTATATAATTAATTGTTCAACTGACCAGAGACAATTATCTCTATCATCGGATGACGTAGTTGTGGCCGTTTTTTTCACACATGTCATTTAAGGATGGACCAAATGACAGGCTTCCTCTCACCTCTGACACCAAGCTACTGCATCACTAGTGACGCTCCGCCGTGTCGTTTTAATTACATGCAAGTCTCTATAAAATCGTTATTTCTGTGTTTAGGATGTGCAGTATATGATGACTTTGCAATATATTATTATATATATTATTTAAAAATTACGTTAATAGATTTGGAAACAAAACTTAAGTTGTTTGTTGTTTTCAACTTGAATTTATTCATCATTTAGAAACGTTTGTATAATAGTGTTTTTCTCTAACTTCAAAACTTAACACTTCACACATAAATAATGTAAGAATTAAATATGGTTATTTTTACAAACCAAGACATTCAAACACACATTTCGAGAGCACTTGCCAACTTCATGCGAACATTGTTCCACCTTTTTACCACCACGTTCTGTCCCGTGCCGATTTTGGCGGTAAAACTGAAATAGCGGTAGAACGGGCATGTTAAGTAAAATATTTTACATATATATGGAACTGAAACAAAGACTTAATATATGACAATGGATTAATCAAACATTTTGTCAATTTTAGCAGGTAATCATTGTCATTTGTTAAATAAAAGTTATCAACCAGATTAGCACTACCGAAGTACATGACACCACCTGAGACATAAACACGAGATTGTAGTTATACTAACATTTCCCGTCAATTTACCAGTATTCTCGTACATGTGTTATTCTAACATAATTTCATTTTTCGCAATTCAATCTAAATTTTGTAAACGACAGAAGCAACTTAGCATTATATTTACATGTGTATGGTAACATCATTTCACTTAGAATGAAGGTCTGGTCCGCCGTACATAGCCGATTTATCACAACCATTCAGCTGAAAACTGGTGCAATATTTCCGGTTATAAATTTCGGAACTCAGGTAAGCTGCGAAAGCTGATATATCGCGCTTAGGTCAGTATGTCTAATTTAAAATAATTCTGATGTGTTTCGAGTGTACTTGAATTTGTATAATTACTTCGAAAGTTCTGAAACCATACTACTAACTTTTGATGACGTCTTGTTGCTTTTTTTCACCAACGAAAAAAGACCAGTTACATAAGCATGTGTGTGTTACAACTATCTCGATGGGATATTAATAGTGAAAATAAAATTGTCTCGCGCTTATAATTGAAATTTAAAATCATATAGTTCTTTTGATTAAGGCAACGTATTGTGTTCAGAGCTGGAAAATTCATTTCAGCAAACGTTTCATTTTTCACTAAAGTTTTTTTTAGTTGTTGTATTGATTTCAACATTTATAGATATTTCCTTCTAAAAAAGGAAATCTTGAAGTTAGACGTAACAATGCAGATGACAACACATCTCACAAATTCAAAATACAAAGATGGTATAGATTGAAATTAATTTGATATTATAGGAAAGAGACACTGAAATTAAAGAAAAACCAGAAAACTTTAATTGATTGTAGAAACTACAGGTTATTCTGTCATATCACATTAGGTTTATAAGATAGTGTGTTGTACCTATCAAGTTCTATAGTTTAATGACAGGTAATAATAATTCTGTCCATCAACCTAATTAATCAAAAGACCATCCCGGCTGTCTAGAGCCTGCGGCGTCAGTCCTAGCAAGTTTCCACGGGAGGGGGTTAGGTATCGGTTTATTACACAGGAGAGTTCCACACAGGTGAGCTTCAGGTGTTGTAATTAATGATTTAGCACCCAAAGAGCACCTACTGTCGTTACCTAATTCACTTATAATGCCAATCTGTACAATAAATGCGACTTAATTTTCATATACGGTGCCGAATGACAATATATCTGGTTCCAATTCTACAATGTCTACATGTTTGTCAGTTTCCTTGTGACTCTCTATGTCGTCTTTACAATATCTGTGATATCTGTTCTGTGTGACTATAATTATTTTTCCGATATCTATATCTGTTCCGAGTGAATATCTTTGATAATATCTAGATCCGTTCTGTGTATTTTATTATGTGTACTTTTCTAAATTCTATCATGATACACATGTATGATCAACTGTAAAGACACAAGTACATAACCGGTCTCTTTCATGGAGAAATTCTGTCTGCGATATTTTTTTCATTTTAATGTGTACGATGTTTTAATCCATTTTATTAATTTGCAAATGATTTTCAGGTCAAACTTATTCCATATGTCTTACGCTGACAACATGGTTACATTTTCAGAGACTGGTCAGGGATTACAGCATCTACTCAAACATTGAAACAAATAAATAATAAATAACTTGATAAATAAATAAATAAATGGTAGTTTTCTAAAAGATGGTACATAGTAATGAGGAGTGGGCGTGTAACGCAAAAAAAATCTAATTTGCGTAATTGGATGTATATATCAAAGATGGACGTGTAGTTCAATCACAACTTAAGCAATATTTAAAACTACTTTTCAACCAGAAAAGGGACGTTTGCGCTTTATTTCGAAACTTCGAACTTAAAAACTTATTTTAATCTTTTATGACAAGTATGTTTTCAGTATTTTAAGTTATCCGGTGAGACATGGGTATCATCAAAGATAATCAAATAGATTCTATCTTATAAATTTTGTAAAAGAATACTTCACTTTTTAAAAAACAAAAATCATTCTGATTGTATATTGTGAAATATTGGTTAAAATTAATTCCGTTAGGAAATTGTCTTTTGATTAGTATACATGTTGTTTTCTTAAGAATTGAAAATGAAAGAAATTGTTTCAAGAGGGTTGGTTTTGTTTATTGTTTTGTTTTTGTTTCCATTTTTATTTCAGATATGTATGAGAAAAGCAGCTGCCAAATGCTGAAAAAACTTAAATTTTCATTAGAAACACAATCAAATTGTCAAATTTATGACCATCTTATTGACAAAGTTACTTTACACTATTATCTAAATCAATATATTCCTAAACTGTATATATATATATATATACATAATTATTATAAATAAAAATACTTGTGGATACAATAGTACCTCTATGTCTAAACGATTCTGTAATACATGCACTATGAGACAATTCATCGAATATGAAACCATTTTCTTCTTGAATGTAATGAATTTAGAAATTTAAATTAAGAAATACATCAAAAAATACTTTTTGAGAAAAAAATCTGTGTAAAAATTAACCTAGCAACTTATTTCCAGTATTAAATGTTAGAGACTTGCAGCTAATCAACAAAGACCCAATAATTAAAGCAATTATATTATACAATATATATCTCGTTTTATATAAGGTTTGTATATGCCATGCTGTAACTAAACACGTGCATGATAATTATAATTATACATGTGTAAATTCATCTTTAATTACACGAGCATTATAGTTTTAATGATACACGCGTATCATAATATTTATTGATACACGTGTAAAATAATCTGTAATGATATCTAACGAAAGACATTCGTGATAATTCTATGTTACCAGGAAAAAAATCGCCTCAATTACCATAATTTTGTATCTATATGTGATATATCTTATTACGTACTTCATGTAGATATAGGCGCAATGATAAAAAAGTGTTATTTTTAATATGTGTATCAATAGTTTATTCACAGCTAAGTTGAATACAAACCCTCCTCAGTAACTGGACCGGTTTCATATCTCTAGCCTTGCTATTTCCCTCTAACATGATGTGACAGATAAATGAGTTACCGGTAAAGGCAAACCGCGAGATGATTTTAGACTTTATTTTCCTTTCATCTGTCTGAAAAATCGGAGTCAATTGTCCCCTGACTCTTGAAAGTGTAATTTTCAATGACATTACACATCACCAGTACTAAATATGGCGGTTAAAAGATCGCGGTGGCTCACCTTTCACTACAATTATTAACTACACGACAAACATCAGAAACCAAATTGCCCATCATATTGTCAATTAACGCCTCATCGGCGTAAGGCAGCCGTCGATTGGCTAGCGAGGTTGTCAATCATGCCTATCCTGACTGTTTTCAGGTAAGCGTTGTAGTCTAAAGAGCTCTTGAGGCGCGAACGCACCGCCCCTTCATTAATCAAATGACATGTATACACATGGTGGGTCGCCTGTATCTTATCTCAGGTTGAACAGGAGCTGTAGGTTTGTTTATAACGGGGATATTCCATGTTTGCATTTCAAGATATACAGCGGTGATAATATTTCATAATAGGAAAACACATGTAGTTATTAGACAGCTAACCTGATTTAACACTGTAGTATACATCTATACTTCGGACATATCTCTTATTATTCTAAGAACTTGTACAAGCCAGTATCAAGTGGAAATAGTGATTACTTCAGTGTAGAAAACAATGGAACTACTTTAACGGACAATTTGGAATCCTGTAACTGATAATATTTCGATGTGAGAAATGATGCCAAGTTCTTCCCAATATCGCCTGTCCGAAGAAACAGGAAGTGATGGAGAAGTGTCTGTAGACTTTAGAATAAGTTCCGACATGAAGCTGGAAAATCGGATACCAAGTATGTCCCATTCTGAATCGGACGATGGACTGTCAGATTCGGACAGTGTATTACATTCTCCGGACGCTGATGGACACAAAGTGGTTAGTCCAGATCACAACACCAGATCGGAGGAGTGTCACAGCGGGACAGAGTTCGAATCTCCGGATAAAAATCTAGGATCACCATTATCAAAAGGTAATTTACATGGCAACTAAAAACAAAGCAGAGCAGCAAATGTTACCCAAAAAAATTGACCATGGACACTTGCTTAAAATTATAAACAACCTTGAGTTCAGGAAGCAAAATAATTAATTATGGCAATTAAAACATTTCAACATACCACAAGGCACGTGCTCCGCAATTAAGAATCTGCTAGGAAATTAATTAATCACATCATATCATTTAAATTCGAGTTTTTAATTAGAATCTTAAGACCATGATCATATCTAGAAATTTCCTTGAAGGACTGGTAAATAGTTTTACGTGGCTCTTTAAGATAATAAAAAACTTCTATCCACATCAAAATAAAAGTCCATAGTTAGAGTTATTCCAACACGTGTTACATGTGCATCTGTGTGCAGTGTCCATGGGAACATCTACAAGTTAAAATTCAATCTGGAGAGTAATTCTGTTTTTTGCTTGTGTAGACGCCCTAATGTCTCGTGTTATTTACGTTATGTTACATTTTCTGACTGGCCTTTTAAAACCAGAATTAAACAAATATCATAACATAAAGGAAAAAGGTAGTGTTTGGTTTATCGAAAGGATTTCGGTCCTACATTCCAGCAGATCATATCAACTGTATTATCTTTAAAATTCATAATGATTATAACATGTGGTCGAAAACTTGGGTTCTACGGGTTGCTTCCCTTGTCATAGAGGGCACCATGACTGATACCAACATTTCATAATTCAAAATATGTTAAACGTTCATGACTGATACTGTTTTACTGCTGTGGGTTTTTTTAATTCTCAGTTGTAACGAGTTCTCCGACATGTACATATACATTCTGTCCAAAAAACGTCTATACATCACGTTATAATGGATAAGTTCTCTTTCAGGAAAACATCTGAAAATATTCAATTATGATATTTTCAGCTTCCAGTAATTATGTAAATGCTCCAAATTTCTTGTTGATATTTCATAAAGCAGAAAACTTGCCTAAATCGTTTTGAAAAGTATTTTAAGTGATTTCAGCTCTTACACTTCAAAGGATTTTTTAAATACTGTATCTTGATGGAAATCCTGTGACCCCTCGCGAAACTGACAATGTGACCCCAGTGCAAATAAAAACAAAGCATTTTTTTCTAACATTTTTAAATGAATTATCCTATCTCAAGTGTCTGATCCTATGAAAGCGTTAAAGCACGTTTTGTGCTTTTAAAGGAAACAAAGTGCATTTCAATTAAAAGACGATAAGAAAGCCCAGGTGAATCTTTTTCTATTGTTCGGTTAATCGAGAAAGTCTGTTGTATACAGATGCTACTGACATGAATTTCAAACTTGTTGAAGTCACGTTTTTGTCTTATTACAAGCTGATCGATACCTGATTACACCTTTATCGATTGATCAAAGTATTTACCTGTACTCACCTGAGTTACAGGTGCGAAAATCCAATCAGATGCTTCGCGATAAATGATATGCTTTAGGGTCTAACAGGTTTCGTCTTCGAGACCTGACTGACCCCCGAGGGAGTCATTTGGCTGGTTAGGGCTTTGGTAATTGGTAAATAATGGCTTAAGCTGTGAACAAGTCTGTTCATCTCTTGGTCATTACAGTGATAGAGTCGACAAAGTACACGATATTTCGGAGAAGTATCCACTTTGTTGAATAGCAATCTGAAGAAATGAAGATTTATTTTAATACAATACCTTAAAAAAACAGAATATCAATTTCATCGTTGTCTGATTCCAGATTAACAGAAAAAATAGCACACATGGAAGATTTTACACCTGATTATCCTTCAGTTTTAACTTTGTTTTAGACCACAGGTTTGCGTCACTGTTTTCCCGAATTCACTCTCGGTTTTTGTTCACCTTCAAAGTGACCATTGCATATTGGGGTAATATTTTTTTATCTATCAGGGAATATTATTTTTTAATGATCATTAGGACAGAGAAATCATTTTTTATTTAAATCTATGATTACTTTTTTTCATTATCATGAAAGATACACAAAAATATTAATTTATTTACAACAAATTATCATAAAATGATTGTAGGAAACAGACACATCGATGTTAGAGACTCTTCCATGTAACGTTTGACACCCGCTTATTAGAATTAATGACAACTTTCGAGGGGTACATAATGCATAATCATGATATATTTCCCATCAATGTAACGTTCCCTTATTTTACTGTAAAATAAATGAAAATATGGAATTAATTTGATATCATATAGTGTCTCTGTCTCTTACATCGTGACAAAACTTATGCACTGTGTGCGCATTACTGTCACACCTCGGTCGATATACTTCACCACTGCAGGTGTGTGGCTTGACGAGTTTATCGCTGACGTTACTTATATGTCGCAATCGATAGAAAAAAATTCATACTCTCCCTTAAAAAACAAAACTTTGAAGCAAATTTCTTTGAAATGATAAAACAAATATGAAGTAAAATATGTAATCATTCACCGAGGCAAATAGTTGCCTCTTCATTGACTCGTTACACTAATAAATCATTGCCCAATTGTGTACAAGTTGTGGGTCTCAGATCTGTGAACATGTTTTTTGCTTGGGAAACTTTTGGACATTGAGGCGCAAACTGTATTAAGAGGTGATCAAACGATTTTTAAACGGATGATGACAAATTCGTTGATGGGATTTTAATTGACCGTGAAAATCAACAACGAGGGATCATTTCTCTCGTCTACTACCATTAAAGGATATCAGCGAGGAAATCTCTGACAGATTATTCGCAATAAATGCTTAAATAACAATTTATTAGATTTTTTTTATGTTATTTTTCCTGTGACTATGATTTTTAGGATATTCCGATAAAAAAAAACCCAATAGAAACGTTTTTAAATTAATCATGCTTGGTTTCCCGAGTGCAGTTGTCAGAAGCCTAACATCATACTCGGGATGCATAACTCAGTACGTTATGTATATCTACAGCGGACGTAAGAAATTGATGACATCCTAATATCATACAAACTAATTTGAGTACATAAAAACCGCTTTTCAGCAAAAGGAAATATTCCATTCTGACGTGAATATGACTGTGGAAAATTGCATTCTTAACACCTGACACATGGTATTTTAGCCGTGGACGTGTCAGGTGTCAGATACCTACATATAAATTGTGATTATCAATGATATCCTCACATACAGTGCGCATACCTACTTTCAACATATCTACAATTATATGATGTTGTGTTTGTTAAGAAACACAAGTCAACATTGACTTTCAGACGATTATTTTCAGCTGTACACATATTAATAAAAGTTACAAAATTATAATTTGTATTCGACGTTTAAATTTAATGATACGATATAATATAGGTATGATTAAAAACAATCCGGTTTCAACTATTAATTATGACGGAATTGGACAAAAGAGGAATATTTCTCCCTGGATAAAATATAGTTGGATATAAGACGATAAAAACAATAACATTAAGTTGCTGAAGTACTACAATGTTGTCTAATATGAATTGTTTACCTAAATCGCCATTTTTTACACTTAAAGAAAAAAAAAACTTATGACCATTCTTTTCATAAATAATTACAGATACGTTCTAAGAATTATAGCAGTGATAAATAAAATATCGTGATTCGAGTATAAAAATACCGAGATAAAATTTATTAGTGTTGGTACCAGTTCTGTAGAATTGTTATCTTTATTCTCTCTTTATCATTGATTTTTGATTGATTGATCATTGATTGGCCTAGTAAGTTGTAGGAACTTGTGCCTAATCCTTTTGTTTGTTTATCAATAAAATATGTTTGAATGAATCATTGATTTTCCAGTTTAATTAATAGCCTCAGAGGCGCTCGAATTGCTGCCAACTGATTTTTGTATATAATAAAACTTGTAATTTATATCCACAGCTTGTATTATTGAAAATGCATCATTTATTTTAGAAACATTTCTTGGAATCCCTCACATATATACATCAAATGACCAGTCAAAGCAAAGGAGACCCTACTTCTCTTTCATACATTTTTCCTTCATCAATTATGTAGGATCAGCTACGACGTTACACTGAAGTTTTATAGATAAATAATTTTGATAAGTTTACAATATCATCAATGGTTCACAATATCATTTATTAAGCTCCATTATCATTTACTGGTTTAAAATATTAAATAACTAGTTTACATTATGATTAAATAGTTCACAATGTAATTGACTAGTTTACAACATCATTAACTGTTTTACAATATCATTGACTAGTTACACAATATAATTAACTAGTTTTTAATATCATTCACCAGTTTACAGTACAATTAACTAGTTTACAATATTATTAACCAGTTAGACAACATCATTAATTAGATACACAATATCATTAACTAGTTACATAATAGCATTAACTGGTTTACAAAAAAAAATAATAACTAGTAACTGGTTTACAAAAAAAAATAATAACTAGTTTATAATATAGTTAACTAGTATACAATGTAATTAACTTGTTTATGATATCATTCACAAAATTTGAAGAAAAAACAAGACAAACAGACTACATTTTCGTATTTCAAACATACATCTAAATAATCAAGTTAGGACCATAATACATTTTTTTCAAATCGAAATATCATGATATTGAATAAAGTCACAAGAATGAGAATATTTCCGATGTAAATAAAACGTAACGCGATCAGGTCTTACTACATTTTTTTTATCTTTACAATAAAAATCTTCAGTGTCAAAACATCGAACACAAAACACAATAAGCTTTATAATATTAATTAATGTAAACCGCTACGTGGTTAAATAATTATGATGATGTATGTCCTTTCATAGCAACCAGAAATCGATTCGTGTCGGGAAGTCCTACAAACAAGTGCGATAATAAGAAAACTTTTTTTTTTCAGTTTTAAAAACAATGAAATTAACCGAAACAAAATAAATAAGAAAAATAAATTCTCCAGAACAAAATCCTATAGAAAAAATGAAGAAAAAAATAGATGAAATACGATTGAATCTGATATTTCGAATAAGTTTAATCATTTTTATGTTGAGTTTCTGTCGATTTTTTTTATCGGAGTTGCATTCTGCATTTCTGAACTTGTAGGAAAAAAGATGAAAAAATACACCTGCATAATAAGTCTGATATTTCGAAATATAGACCATTGTCAAGTGCTCGTCAAATCCATGATAAAGGAACGCATAATGAACACGTACATGTTGGACATGACAACTTGTTTAATATTTCATGAAGCGTAATGACCAGATTTCTGTACTACGATAAGCGATGATTTACGACATGTCTGCTAGTCTTCACCGTAACGTCTTAGATAACTATCATAAGATATATTTCAATTGTGTTGGGCTGTTAAATATATCATTTCATTCCTCGCTGGTTGTCGTGTAAGAAGGGTTATTAATTAGTCGTAAACCGACATAATTAATTCATATCACTGTTTTATTGCTTTGTTCGGCGAGTTCGATGAGGATTCCCGCCGTTACATAATTATATATACTCAATATGTGATTCAATGGACTGAATCAGAAACTTCAGTTTATCGTCACAGCGCTCTTTTATCTTCATATGTAGTCACCTGTTCCGACTTCTCACACCAAAGTCTTTAATATCGGTGCATTCTAATCAGTGTTTCCTACTGTGTCAGGGACAACTCCCAATTCACCATCGATAGAATTCATCATTGATAAGGTTATACAGAGTGCTTTGATAACTATACCGTGAAATTGACGTAAATTGATACTTTGATGCTACAATGTTAACTAAGACTAGTACTTCCTAATTATGATGTATCATCTCATATTCGTTATACTCTAATCCGGGTTAGACGTACCCGTAACGTTTTCGACAATTATTCATAGCCCGAAATTAATTTCGAATTCATTAAAAATTAATGGTAATTAAAAAATACGGCGGTAATTAATCGTTATCTTCTTAAAAGTTGAATAAGTTGAATATAGAATTAGTTGATACTGGTGTGGGAATCTATTATTGAGTTGATCTATTCAATTTTCGTTTTTGAGAAACTTTCAATAGTTTCAATTAAGGATAAATGGAATTATACCAGTATCAAAAGTTATGTAAAAATCTTATGGCCCAAACAACTCATTGTGTACGAACGCATAGTCATAATATGTAACTATTATGTTTAAGTCATCCAGAAACGCTCATATTAAGTAATATAATATCATTTTTATTTTGGCTCTTCCGAAATCTTCACTAAACTTGAGTATTTCCAATGCAGTGTCTTTGAATTTAACATGGAAACGTTAGCAAACATTCCCTGATTTGTACAGAGACTGAGTGCATTATAAATACAGACCTTTTCATACCTGTTTCCCCCCGTCTCCTTATCTAACGTTTACTGTTTGTTTCATTGAGTTTCATTTCTCTTACTTTGATTTCCTGTAGATCCTCTTAGTTTTCTTTACGTTTGTCTCTGTGTTTCCTTGGTTACCGTCGAATGATATTTTGCTCGAAAGTTTTGTTACGTCGTCTCTTGTATTTGCGGAGGGATAGTGTTTCATTGTTTTAGACAGGTCATGTATACAGAGTAAATCAGAACTAATTCAAATCTTCAATAAATGCTATAATACCTATGTACTATGTATATGTGTAGATGATCTGCAAGACGATTCCCAAGTCAGGCGGTACAGGACGGCATTTACCCGTGAACAGATTGGCCGACTGGAGAAGGAATTTTACAAAGAGAACTACGTATCCAGGCCGAGGCGGTGTGAGCTCGCCAAACTTCTAAACCTTCAGGAAAATACCATCAAGGTTAGTTTCCCACAATTCACGATGTTACTAGTGACAAAAAACTATGTTACTTTGCGTCGAATTTTATACAAGTGCTGTACATAAATCACAGAAACACATTAACGTGGTTCACAATTTTTATTCTACAAAGAATACTACATGTATTAATTTTGACATTGCACAATCAGGCCGTGTTTAAAATGATGTCTCATTTCCGTATTTACATTTTCACATCTTCAAAGTCAATAGTAGGATAGTTTTGCAGAAAACATCTGCAGACTATTAGTTGACTGATGATAATATAACATTGTAACGTAATATGTATTAATTAAAAGTATGTCCTTTTAACAGCTTGACGGGTTAAATAAACAAGCCTGTTGTTTTCATCTTATTCTATTTTTTCTTTTATTTGGCAGGTTTGGTTCCAGAATAGAAGAATGAAGGACAAGAGACAAAGAATGGCTATGGCTTGGCCTTATGGAATCGCCGATCCACACCTATATGCATATTTAGCAGCCGCCGCAGCTTCGTATCCATACGGAATATCCTCTCCTGGATCTAACCCTTTCAACTATTACGCTTCCCTTGGTATCCAGAGGCCATCTTCGGCAGGGCTCGGACAGTACCCATCATTCGGTGGTGGTCCGATTCGTTCACGGTCAGATATTCTCCCTGGAATGTCAGGTCCACTTATGCGCAATCCGACAATGCCTATCCCGCACACAATGCCGGCTACTTCTTCTATTGGTTGCAATATGCATAACTCCCTTGACAATTCTTCTCCACTTATTCATGGACATTCTTCAATGCAAAATACGTCACCGCCTGCTGATAATTGTAACTGTAACCCGTTGTTAGGGGGACTTGGTAACATACCTACGTCACTTCCGTCTGCGCAAGCACCTAAAGCACATTCGAATACAACATCACAGGGATTGTTTCGTCCTTTCCAGACGGACTCCGAGAGAACGTGATTGTGAAAAAGGCTAGATATTTTACCGAGTACAAACCAACAAGACATTGTCGTATGTTGATAAAGGTACAAATGGATATTAAGTGAAACATGCTCATTTAAGCGACGTTGTTGTGACACTGGTAAGAAATCAGACATTATATAAACAGAAGCCACAAACTGTGTTCTATTCTCTAGCCGGATGTTACCTTATGCTGTTTGTTTAAAATTATACACGTAGTGTATGTACATGACTTCAGTTATTATAGAACAAATTTGTGTTTTATGTTCAAAACAACTGCGATGGTTAATTCTCAGCAAGTAATACTTCTCTTACGTCACAACTTAGGTGGGATGAATTACGCTGCAAAATCACGATTTCAACATTTGAGTGAAAATTGTCACACTTGTAAAAAGTACTTACGTCGGCGTGTGTGAATCTTGTATACGTGTTTTATACAACGTCTAAATCCATTCCATTGATTCATGTTTATATTTATTTGTTCTATAAATTGTTCAACTGATACTGGGATTTTTGAGTCAGTGTTGAATTGAGGAAATTGATAATAAAATATGCTATAAAATAAGGACCATGATTTATTTTTCACTTCTGTATACCATGCTTCACGTTTCATCCATGATATATGCAATGAAAAATATATCGCAGATGCATTAATATTTGAAAGAGAAAGCAAGAATTTTTGCTTTCTTTGGTTGATATGCCAAACTTTCTATAGGACGTCCAGCAAATGATTTGTGGATGTGAATACAAAGAAATAAAAATTTGCCAGCACGCAACCTGACCGTACTTCTAACTGAAATATCTACAACGAAATCCTTCTGAATAGGTCCGAAATTATCCAAAAGATCATAAAAGATTCAATGCCACATCCGACCTGCATCACTTTCCCAACTGATCGTTATAAGGAAGTGGCGCTAGGCAGCATAAGTGCGGTTCAAAACAAAAGTAAAAAATAGGAAATTTTAAATTAGCCCAAACGGAACGGCATGGTTGTAGCACTTACCGCAGTATAATTGATATATCATAATTTAAAAGGAACACGAAGGAAATATACGAAACGGGGATTCGAGTAAGATCCTAAACATTACGCATGCTCAATAAGAGAGGATGCTTACTTAGATATAACAACTTCCGCTTAATCGTTTTATACTGTAGTAAATGTAATAAATTGTACACTGAAGTAAAAATACGAGAAAACAGGTTAATTAATGTTTATCTATAACATAGACAGTAGAATAAATGAACAGGCGTTCTGAACGTTGACTCCTGTCATCTCAAATCTGACAATTGTTATACCTTTAGGACAGAGGTTAAGCCAGTAGGTTACGTAAGGAAACATCATTTCGAGTGATGTTGAAACACTTCATAGTGAAACTATGAGACCACATGGTAGTATAAACAAACATGTGACACTTCAAAGGCACAACAATATCTGTAAAACTTTTTTTTTCTAGATTCACAGCTTTAACACATGCATGTCAATATTATTATTTTATGACAGTATATTTTGTGCTTAAATATCCTTTCAAAAAACTATTGGTATGAAATATATGTATGACGTGTGAGACGTGCAGTGGTTGGTAATGATACACATTTTATGAATCCGAACCATTCGCATTAACACTTAGTTAAACATTATAACCAGAACATATGTTTGTCATCAAAATCTTTCAATTAATACATTTTCACTTTAAGGGTTAAACTGTCACTTTCTCTGTTAACCTCTTAGGATATGAAATACAAATCCTTTGTCCCTAATTACCTAATTAATTAAACTTCTTGCTTAAAACGCAAATTATGCACTCTTATGCGCCATACGGAACACATCAAAGCCGCGCTCCGCTTTGAACCGAGAAGGTAAAAAATGCATGTTGTCTCGATATTTAGTGACGTGTGTTGATACCTCATTATATAATCTGGGAATTACCTGGACCAGGATGTACTCTAGGATGTAAAACAACTCTTTGTTTCAAATTTTATATGATAATTATTTCAAGACAAAAATAAAATATTCGTCTTAAGACATTAAGCAGGTGTGTCCACCAATGCACTTTTGTGTTGTAACGGTTTATTTATCAATTTATCAATTTCATCGGCAAAGCAAAGAAGGATCGATATGGGTGTTGTAACTTTAATCTTTTAACACAGTAGCAAACAGTCCACGCACTTGTTCACTAACGAATATTTTATTCTTGTGTGTTATTGTTGATTTCATTTTCACTATCATTCCGTAATTTATTCGCATTTACGAAAACAACAATGAACAATTGATTGTAAATCCAACCATAGAGTAAACGTCTTGTAATCGAATGTTCTCAAACAATAAGCGAGGACATAGCTAAAAGAGAACCACATCTAACACTCTTTTGAACATTGAACACATTGAGTTTCATATAAGATATAATATTACATAAAGAGATGATGACCATGATAAACCCTTTTTGGTTGTTTCATCAACATGTTTTTTAAGCCTTGTTTACACATGGATTTCAGTTCGGTTACGCACATACTGTAATACTGACATTTCAATTATCGCTAGTTTACCAATGAAATTATAATGCGTGCATACTTAAGAAACCTACGGACATTAGTACTAATCAAACATTTTAATTAGTACACAACAATAGGCTTTATATTGTATAACACTAATGGTTTTATACTGTATAACATAGACATACGTAAACAGGTAGGTTTGCCTTGGTTTTACATTGTTAAACGCCTTATCAACATGTAGGGTCATTTAAGGAATCCCTCGCGGTATATGCGATGTGAGTGCATGTATTGAATGCATGTGATATTGTGTGGCTGCGTAATATTTTTGACAGACTCGATTTGGTTTGTGTAGTATTCGACCCAGATATAAGAAACTCAATGACTACCACACGGTGCACGGGCAAGTCCTTCAGAAAAGGTAGAAAATATAGTCGCCTCTTACGATCATGCAGTTCTTACGTCATACCTACAGGACAGATGTAAAACCAACAGCCTTCATTAGTCAGACCGACCCGACGAGTTACGGTGATGTAATATAAACCTGATCGTCATAAAATCATCATATTAAGTGCCGTGTTGGGAATTTTGTTTTGAAAGATAATGCAGATCACAGTATAAAAGTAATCTATTATTGTAATTTATTCTGAACGATAATTGCTATATAAATTCAAATTATTCCAATAAACTTTTTTAATTCTTTATTAAAACTTGATGGTTTCATTTTATTTTACCTGTCAAAAGGTAGTTTAGTGTGGCAGGTAATCCTTCTTCGCTAACGAGACAACATTCATCACCACACCAACTACTGAAATATCACATCGAAGTACAGAAACGATTTAAAGGGTCTAGGGGTTCTCAAGGATTTTTAAAATCGAAAGATATATTTTTTGATAATGTTTCCACATTTTTTTCACTGCTTTGAAATCAAAGTTTATTATGTACAAAAAAGGTTGCTACCAATGATACATTGTAACGGAATACATTTGACATGTCACTTTAATGTAAATACGTTATAACATGACGAGAATTTAAAATGCATGCTGTAAACAATTTAATAATGAAATAATTGTTTATTTAAATTCCATGACACAATAACCAATTCAAATTTCGGATACCCATTTAAATGTTGCGATGATTTTCTTTCGGAACCGGAAATAACTCAGGATTGCCTTGTTTAGCGGCACATGTATTGACATGTTATTGGCAGTTCCAGGTATATATGAGGTCTCATGAGGTTTTATATACAGTGTTAAGGTTCATCGTTGTTATGGAAATAAATAACAAAGAATTAATACAAACGACACATAAAACACTACATATGTGGAATCTGACACAGGAAAGGCAAATAATGATTTTGACATGGCAGGGAGAGTGAAGGTATATGAGTTTGAAACACGAGGAGCTGTAGCTCTGACTTTTGCTAGTGACCATAAATATCTTACGTAAACAGCTCTTAATATATAGTCACAATGCAGCTCTATTTAACATAATCTCTTCCATAGATAAACATTAGCAAATAATAATAAAAAAATGGTCAGATTTGACAACTATTGGGATTAAGTGTTTATCTTTTATTTTAATGGAGTTTATATAGAACGTTATTGAAAATTTCTTGTATATATTTTTGTAGGTAAAATATATACCTGTTTTTGAAATTGTATGACAATGTATATCTTTGTATACCTGTGCTTGCATTTGAACAATTTGCACAGCATGCGCACTGCTAAACTAGAAGTATGCGATTAAGTTTTCACTCAAATTAAAAGCTATAATAACTGGTACAGGCGTGCACGTACCGGGTTCATTAAGAGAATATGCTTATCTGACAGTAAATTAATATCGTCGTATACATTTCTCGAGTCAGTGCGTGCAAAGTCGTATTTTAAAAGAAATACTAATTACTCTGTGTGAGACGCTCAGCCAAGCAACTCTTTGAACAAGAGAAACAAGATAAACTTAGGTTCCTTACAGTAGATTTCTTAGAATAATACGATAACACTTGCAAGAAAACTTTAATATGTAAATTTCACTTTACAGTGAAACATGTCTTTTCCAGACCCACTATGATACACCTTTAGCACACGTTGAGCAAATTATCTGATGATTGATAACAAACAGGCTCCTTGGGTCACAGATGATAGTCAAATAAGTTTTTCTTTCAAATGTCAATGTTAGTGGAGTATGCGATGAAAAAGGCTGTAAATTTCTCGCCGGAACCAATGACATTAAAGTGAATTTGTCACAAATTATGCTTCGTTTATGTTTTCAGCGTATCAATCAGGCGGTTGGCGCTCGTTTGTACTCGTTAGGTAGGGTCAGATACATCATCTTTGTTGGGCAACATGGGGCCTCAGAGACACGTGTGTGTGATCACTTTTTAAACCCCTGCAGGCACGATTGTTTGTATAAGTGTAGTTAACTTGGAAAACAGAAAACATTATCTTACACACATTCAACGAATCGTATTTCCATGCTTCTTTATCTGTGTGGTTTATATATTGTATCGA